ACCAGACTTGAGTGCAAGAATAGAGATACCTTATGGCCACTACAGACTTGATCAATTAAAATGCGGTCACGGAAGCTTCATAGATTTCCAGTCAATTTAACTTATCCACTATATTAGTTGCGATGATCTTGATCATAGTTTCTTATCTTCTGTGATAAAATTGATTATGAATAGAAGCTGGGTTTCGAAGAATCCTTTAGTATATTGACAATGGCATACATTTCATTTAGTTGATTCGACTTTTCTTATATCGAAGGAAAGTTGCCTGGACCTTTTGGCTGATGAATTGTGCGAAGAAGACTTCGGCTCACCGTCCGATTACTTCGATGACTCCGTGCTGAGCTTATGTCCGTCATATGACGGACATCGTCAGAGCCAGAAACCATTATTCACAAAAAAAACACAAAAACACAACCCCGATAAAAAGTCGCCAGCTGAGATGCTACTTAATTCTTATACCTCATTTTGCGATCTTAATGTGGCATTCCATGATTTGGTTGGTTGTTTTATGCTTGTCCTACATGCATGTAAGTGGGTCATAGTGATACAGGAAGGGGAACGGATGTAGTCACAGCTTGTGTATATGTGAATAAATTAGCTTATGATCCTGCAATCATGGGTCTTGTTAGAGCTTCATGGACGCGTATTCGTGTGCGTTTGCAACACTAACTAGATAGTTGGCAATTTGTGGTCTAAAAACAGGCTCCAGCCTAGTCAAATCTTCTCTTAATCTCTGGCTCTTCTTGTTCCCTGTCCTTCTTTCTCTCTTTTTCTCTCTCATTCTATTCAGCAGCCCGATATAATTTCCTACATTCGTTCCTCTTATTCAGGATGTTCTCTGTGTTTTTAATTTCAATAGAATAACTGATCTTCCGCTTAGCTGTGAAGTCCCCATTTTTGGTAAACCGTTGGGATTTAGACCACTCTATCTGATGTCCTGTAGCGACCACATGTTTAGCCACTTTCAATTTCTGAATCCACAAATCATTGCAGGAGGTTCTTATTCTGATAGCCTCTTATGTATGGATTGACAAGTCTCCCTCACATAAACATTACCACATGAGTACAAAACCTTATAACAACCTGATCTGCAGAGGGCGTCAGAAGATTCTCTAAAAGAAGGCATGATCGAGGAAAACGTTATTGTTTCTTTATACATTATCTTGGCACCCCTTTTCCTCAATAATTCGCCTATCTTTCTTGAAAGCATGCAGGATGGTTGCATTAGGAATCTGGCAGAAGAGTTGTCCTTGTTTCCTCCAAAATAATGGTTTTCCTTTACCCCATTTCTCAAATTTATGAAATTGTTAATAATTAATCTTACCGGATAATCGTTCTCAGCTAAGATTTTTCTTAGCCTTTCTAACTCCTGTTCCTGATCATTTACGTACGCTACACGAGGGAGTGGGAGCAAAAGAGAGACGGAAAGGTAATAGGAAGAGCCAATCAGTAAGAGAAGAAAATTTGGTTAACCTAGATTCTATTTTTTGACCTAAAATTGCCAACAGGAACACGCATCCACGAAGTTATAAGAAGCCCCTGGATTTGAAGATCATACGCTAATTTATTCACATATACAAAAGTTTTGACTACATCCGCTCCCCTTCCTGCATCACTTTGACCCGCTTACATGCATGTAGGACAATCATAAAACAGCTAACGAAATCATGTAATGCGTTATTAAGATCGCAAAATGAAGTATAATAAATAAATAAGATCTCAGCCGGCCACCCTACTTGGTTTGATGTTTTTGGTGATTATTTGTAAATAATGTTTTCTTGCTCCGACGATGTCCGTCACATAAGCGATGAAAGCTCAGCACGGAGCTAACGAGGTCATAGAACGGTGTATCGAGATCTTATTTGCACAATTTAACAGACAAAAGTCCGATACAATCATCCTTCGGTCTCAGCTGAGGCCAATCTACGAATCCCCTCCATCCTCTTTCTCAAACGAAATGAAAGCTATGCCAGTATCAAAATTTATTATGATTTTTCCATCTCTATGGAGTTTTGCATCTTAATTTCCTCTAATCAGACCTTTAATATATATTTTTAATGGTACAAAATATTAAAGTAAAAATTTGTCTCTTCTTGCAGGTGAACAATATATTTTTTCATAAAATATCCATATTCATTCACTCTATTTTTCAAAATGTACCCGCTTGCCGAATTCCTTATTTGTTACTTTTGCGAAATTAATACTTGTTTACTTTCCTTTAAATATATTTTATTTGACATATCGGGGATCACATGATTTATAGTTCGTCATATACTTTTTTCTGCAAAAAATTTATCTTGCTCTGAAAGTGGGATAGTTAGTTTTTTTTAAGCCTAACTAATCTGTTTAAAGAATTATGACAGTTTAGATTCTACTCTTATTTAAACTATTCTAAAAATACCCAAATTTTTCACCTATTCTCATATTATACGAATGTATACACTATCTTTTGTCACATATATTAAACTCAGTCGCACGTATGTCTGTCCATTTTTCTGTTTCTTTATTTATATTTTGAGAGAGTACGCCTCTGCTTTGAAGCAAGCTTTTTAGCCTAATGGTATAATGGTAAAGTTACTCCCTATGGAACTCTATGTCCTCTAGTTTAATACCGTTGGGACAAGACGGGTGAATCCTGGACCAGGTTGCGGTTTATAAGCTGATCTTGAGGCTGAATAACGCATTTTCAGCATACACACTGAGAGCGCAATCTTGAATTCATTTTGAATGAATAAATTCTCACTTCGTCAAATGTAAATCTACAAATGATAAATCTTTACCCTTATCTTGGATTTACTGATAATTTAGGCACCATATCGGTAATGTAACACAACAATTTATTCTTATTACTTTTCATGATTTCTGTCGCAAATGCGTCGACATTATCGACAATGTTTTTGGCAGTCATACGAAGTGTATTCACCCTATTTTGTTTAAGGTACTGAAGGACAGAGTTAAATTTCACCCACAATACTATGAGTAGGTCTCACATTTCCATTGATTTTTACATGACCTTGCCTCCAAAAAGGTTTTCTTATCCGGAGGGAACTGCATTTCCGACCTCGCCAGACGTCGAGGCTCAGCAAATCTATGCGAAATCAAATGGATGCATGAGGCCTGCTCATATTATTGTAGGCAAATTCAACTACTAGCCGTTCTTTACCTTATACGAACTGGGATGAATACATCTCATATATACGATTTAGTGGTATTCATAAAGCCTACTTATGTGAAATTTTCTGATACGCCAGACACAGACTAGCGATTCTCAACATTACTCTAACTTCATCACTTATCTATTACGATAAATAATATATTTTTTCAAGCGTAAATATAAAGTGTTGCATTACAAGCCAAATCAAAGTTAGGCATTTCTAAGCAACTGACCTGAGAAGGTGAACATACACAACAGCTCTATTGTCAATCAAATCAGACCTTAAATTAATTCAGCTGACAGCAAATTTTATGTTGCGGTTAAGCTATAGCGTCTACTTAGTTCTACACTATTGTAAGATAAATCTTTTCTTGATCTTCGTACTGTAGGTCAGACCTTTATTACTAAGAAGAAAGGTAAAGAGCTTAATTAGTAAATAAACTAGAAAAACTCAATTTAGTACCATCGAACAGTCTTTTGATGCCTACTAAGATAAGGTTAAGATCGATATGTTTGGGTTGCTGCGGCAAGGCGCATCACCATTATTAATAAAACTTGTGGTCATCACAGAAGGCCTTCAGAGATTGCTTAGCTTCCTTTACTAAGGATTGTGAACTTATATATTTTAAATTACCTTCAGGAATGCTATTACTTACAAGCTTATCCTGATATTTATTAGTCAATCTTTTCTTTGGGCTAACCTTCTTTTGAAACCACCTTATTTTCTTTAAACTCACCACATATCAGTCCGATTTAGAATTTTTTCACTTCTATAGCAATAGCCTAAGCTCTGCTTATAAACGAAAAATGGTTTTGAAGAGCAACTCATTCTTATACTTGATAAAGCATACTGATTATCTGTCATCAGTAAACTCAATATCCAGTCCTACTAGAATCCGGCCTTTGTGCTCTGTGCCCATTATGTTTTTTCTTTATTGGCCTATATTTTACTGTATGTACCACGTTTTGTTTCACAGATGTTGAGTAGACTTGTTGATAGTAGTTATCCGAAGATAGCTTATATCCATGTTACGTATTAAAAGCCAATCACAGTTTTTGCACGTTTTGTGCAATATTAATTTTTATTATTTTCGGCACAACCGGCCCTGAATAGCCTATTATATAATCTTAACACGTCTCGGCTTTTATATTATGATATGCCGCTGGATACACAAATTAGTTTTTATCAGATTATGCCCGTTCCTGGTGCCTATTATTAACCATACTATTATTCGTCAACTCTACTCATCGTTGTGGGAAAATTCTACTACCAGTCCTTCATCATCTTGCACGAAATAGGGTGACTACATCTCAGATTAGATTTTTTTATTGGGCTCTAATCCAGCAGGTGATGCTAGAGAGACCTGAGTAAACTTAAAATTCAAATCCAGGGGCTCCTTAAAAATGCAAGGATAACGGTAATCTGATATCTAAATCGAAGCCCCTCGTGACTTCATAGTGAGGTTCATACCATACTAAGCGGCAAACTTTTCATTCCTCCATAAAGTGTAAGGGTAGAAAATTCTATGATATTGAACTAAATTGCAAAACCCTCACTGGTGACTGCAAATATTGCTTTTTGTTGCAGTTGCCTCATTAAGACATCAAGAATGAAGTTGCAATTGTGATACTATAGTCACGATCCTACTAAAGTGAGCCATTTGGATATTCATTTTCCTATTTGAATTGATAAAATTTGCTGCTAAGATTGGCAAGGCTCATTGACGATACCAACTGATGTCGGCGAAACGTCTGGGAATGTATTAAATCCATGGCTTTGCAATTGAATTTATCATGACTGTTATGGCAGAGGACATGGCACTTTTCTTTAGGTACCACTGACAGTACGACCAAGTTGCAAAATGAGGTTAAGCCACATCCATAAATTTAGATGTTATTTTTGTTTATTTATCGGAACGCTCTTTTTCATCGATTTTATCTGCCTTCAGTATTAAACACATTTCTAACTTATTTAAAAGTACTATTTTTATCATAATCCACTTTGATTATTTTAAAAATATTTTTAACATTACTTTTAACTTTTATTATTGTTTTATTTACTATTTTATTTTTAACTTTAATTTCTACTTATTTACTATTAAATCATGTGGCCTTAGTATACGAGGTTACCCCAGGCTTGCCAGGCTGCCACACGCCGCATCACCGTTACCAGAGCCACCACGGTAACCTACACCATCATCACGGCCACAATCATAACGGTGCCGGACAGCATCAGCCGCTGCAGCGGCATGCCACGGGCCCTGGAGCTGGTGGAACGAATTGGGCTGCCTGCGGAAATGGGCCGGTGAGCATTGGCCCAACTGGAGGTGGGCAACGTAAGGGCGGCGACTCTACTCCGGGGCCTGTGGTCTCACGACACGCTCCGGCCAGGGACAATTCGCCATCACCTCCACAAGTGTCAGGCAGCGCTCACCATACTCAGACGCACAATGTACCTCATGGGCATGGTACCGGTCACTCACAGCAACAAACGCATCATAATCAGCCGCACTCGGGTCATCATCTTACTTCAGGACAGAACCATGCTAGCAGACGGGGACACGACACTACCACTGGAGAGACAACAAATCCGGCAACCGGTGGCGGCAGGGCAGGGGAAGAAGCTAGAGTGAAAGGCACAGGTCTCAGAGCTGGTGAACAGGCCGTAGGAGCTGAAGCTACTGGTTCTGGACATGGTGGTGGGGCCGCTGCAGCGGGTCGATATTTCGATGATATGGAGACTCAGATGATCGTCAAGGTTGGATATACGGAATCAAGCTTAACTCATTCTCCATTCTTTTCCTTTTTATGCTTTCAATAAAATATTTAGTTTCCTTCGAAATTTATGCATAATAAGATAATCTATTTTATTTGGAAAGATAATGTTTGCCCTTCTGATGCATCGATATTCGGGTAAAGATAAGTCTTCTTAAATTCCCCTCAGGAAAATAAACTGTCAGAGCCTAAAATATATTCAAAGCGATTACTTACCGCATTAATTCGCATTCAAGCTTTCTTTGTTTCATCATTTGTCACTTTTTTTGCTAAACTAATCCTGCCTAACCAGTTAACCTTCTACCAAAGATATCTATCTTCATAAGCATTGTTTCACATAAATTCGACCCTATAAACCTTGCGCATGGTTCCTCTATTAAACACAATCTTATTTCATTAATATTGACTTGGAAAAACTAAGGTTTGATGGGTAAACTGATCTTTCCAACATCTCTAACATTGGTTAAATCGGGCATTGTAATCACTATTTTAATTGATTTATTCTTTATGATACCTGTTCAATGCTAAAACTGATTAATGAAGCTACTCTACAGAGGTCACAAGCCGAGACTATGTAGGAAATTTTTCGGTTATCTTTTTTTATCTGTATATCATACAATTTGGCTGATCTACCTAGGCTACACGGGCTACCTTTTTCTTGAATTTGGTTTTGATAAAGTAAAAAAACAGCCACTTATGCATGGAATTTTCTGTATATTAGACTGAACAACTTTCAGTTTCCGCTCTTCCGCATGGACAATGGTGGCCATGTCAGTTAATTCGAATTAATTAGGCTTCACGATACCATTGCACTCCACTTAGTCTTGCCCCCAAGAAGCTATCTTTCGACCTTGCTTAGGTATCATCATCACCCCCAGCGGGATTCGATAGTTCGTCTTAGTGACGTGCCGATACGACCCAGGTGAGATCGAAGCGAAACTTCACCCTGGTTGAGATAACGTTTTGGGAGGCAGTGGTTGGTGAAGTTCATTGGAATTGTGGAGCCTACTCACCTTCATAATTCCATACTTTACTTTTATAACTGTGTTCTTCCGCCTTAGTCTATCCGAACTTGCTTTAACCACTTATTTTTTTACCTGTTGGTGAATACAGGTGTTCCGCGACTTCTTTAACAAGGGTAGTTGTCCCAGCCTTAGCGAAGTCCGACGTCGTATTGTCAATACTCTTCTTCAGGGACGTCGCAACGCTACTAGCGTGCGTGCCAAGGTCAAGCGACTGCAAACCAGCGGCCGGTGGACCGATTTTACAGCAGGTGTCTGAACTGCTTCAAGTAAACAGTCGGCTTATAGGATATAAAGACGAGTGATTGACATCTGTTGACCACGCGGCTACTCGGACCCTCACTTAGCCAGACAGTAAGGCGAACTTCTCCTGAAGGTCCTGGCAATCTAGACGACCTATTCGTCTACTACACCATCTCCGGTGCTCCTTCCAATCTTTTCCGTACATTTACATTTACTCTCCCCTGTGACGTTTCGTATTTCATCAGACGAAGCGACGTATGCGCCTTTACTGCAACTTCATTGAACGATATTTGTAGTACCATCTCATAAAGGGTCACTTTCTTAATTTTTTATTCTTAATTTCTCGTTTGACTATTCTCTTTCACAACTGCACATCCCAGGCAGGGCTCTCAAAATAGTGAGCATGCATCCTGATCCTCAACAGCATATTCGAATCATAGAGGTATCTATACCTTATCCTACTCCTTGTTTGACTTTTCCTTTTATAAGCTCGCTTTTCACATTTCACTTTGTAATCATGCGTGTTACCTTAGGGTACAGAACTCACTCTGTTCAGTTTCCCTATGCGTTTTAAATCATTCACAATTTTTCTTAACCTATCGATACAGGAAATATCCTGTTACTTGATTTTTCTCCCTCTATTCTTGGCATTTGATCTTTTTTTCCCTCATCATGTCATGATATCACACAGTACTATTCCCTTCGTCTCCATTTCAGTTTCGCATTGCATCCCATTTGCACCAGCTTATATAATCTGGGCTACCTATGGATTAATCTACAGTTTTCACAACTTTACAGCTATTACACTTCTTTTTCTGACATACGTTTCTCTATCTCGTATTTATTCAGATAAGCCTTATTATCTGGCTCTACAGACGCTAACACATATACCATTATACCTTAAATATTGGTAAACGTTTTTCTTGACAAAATACTACATTTGCCTTTTTTATGTCTCCTCTTTTATCTATAGCTCTCTATTTATCCTCGCTCTACTTTCCGTATTTCTCTGTTTCTATCTATTCGGCTGTCTATCTCCGTCTATATATATAACTTTTTGAATTTTGTTGAGACCAACAATTATCTTTCAGTTTATTTTTGAATCTAACAAAATATGAAGCACATCTAATGCCATTGTAGTATTTTTTTTCCTACCTAGTTAGCAGACGTCTACTCGTCAACTTCAAATTGCTGGTTCAAGGAGACATCCTATTTTGTCGATTCTCCTGCATTTTACACTGGCTTCAGAGCCTTTGGCCAATATCCTTGTCTGCTTTGGGAGCCTTGGAATACCTTTGCATAGTTATTACCGATCGAAGTGATATTGTTATGATTTCCATTTTCAACTTGTTTTACCCCTTTCTTTATTATTCATATTTCGTACGCACTTTTTTTCTATAGCACTCTATCTCTTGCTTGTTCGGGTTCACATTCCCAAACACTTCTTACATGACTACCTATATATTTGCCTTCCGTCCGAATATTTGCACATATCCTTCATTAACTTGTTCATTTCATACATCTCACGCTTTCGGTTATGCTGGACAAAGACAAGCACTTATTTTAATCTTTTGTATTGCATCGTTTTCAGCCCCATGATAGTTTTTCTAACGGAGTTGCCTGTTTTTTTCGGCTTTCGGTAATCATCAATGCTTTTGATTGGAAGTCGAATTTTCATACTTCATTGCCTCTTGGCCTGTAATTATGCGCCATTGGTGTACATAATTTCAGATAAACCTCTTTTCAGCCCATCATCTTCCTCCTTTATCAATACCTGAACTGATTTATTTAACTCGTTTATACCGGCGCTGCTTTTGTTGGTTCTCGGCCTAGACCTATTGCATTCCCTATTCGTAGTCTATCCCCGTTAGGTTGGTTTGTAGTCTGCACTACTTTATTTATATCTCCATGTCTGCCATATTTCCATATTTTTTCACTTCATCTACTTGAAGCAGCCAGCTTATTTTCAGCCTTGAGCAGACCAGTCGCCCCGATTAACCTCATCCTTCATATATCCATCTTCTTAACCCATTAACCATGAAACTTAAAGGGAAAATCCAATCTTCGGCTTATTGTTGCTTTTTTGTTTTTTGTTTTTTCTTTATTTCATATCTTTTTCTCTTAATATTTCATTAACTCAAGCTGCAGCACTATTCTTTGATCTTCCTATTATTACGGCTGTTGAAATTCTCCCGGATTTAGGCGCTGGTTATGGCCGGTTTTTCAGTTCCTATGCTTAGCTCTTCTCTGTATACTAATTTAAGCCTCTTTTGGTACAAATCTATCAAAAATTCAGTTATGCATTATATTCCGATTTGTTCCTCGTTGCCATGCCATTGAGCTCTAGCATTAATATCTTCCTATGTATCTCTTCACTTTATTGTGCTCTTTCTCAATCGTTATACTTCAGCTTGCACAGTCCATATATTTTTTACTTCAATATCCTTTAGTTATTGTTTTCATCTCTATTGAAAAAGGCAGTCAAGAGAGTCACCCCGGTGTTCTTTGTTTGTTATGCCTATATCTATGTACATTATTGATACTTTGTTATATGCATCTATCATATTGATTCCTTAGGATTTTCCCTCGTCTCTCCTAACCGTGCCGATTCCCTCGTTGATTCGTTCTACTTTCTACTCTTCTTCATATAATCTTTCTCTAGTGAGCATAGCCGTGAGGCCTATCTGAGGGACTCTACCTTCTGCCTAGGTTTTTCGGAAATGCTATTTGCCCCGCGGTTTTTGCTTTTCCACTTTCTTGGTCAGGTTACGCTCTTATTGGACTTCATTACTTTACAGGTATTTTTCTTACCCTTGAGTTGGCTATCAATCCTGATTTAATCCTTGTTCATCCTGATTGCTCTCTTAACTATGCACTCAATTGCCTCTAATAATTTATTTTCCCAATTATCTCTATCGCTTAATCTCTCATTTGCCTTTTCATTAACCGAGTTTCTGTTGACCAAGTTTCGGTGCTTGCTCTAGCTTTTTTTAACTTATCATCCTATTCTGAAATGTTATGTTATCATTCTCACTCATTGCTTTGCTTCCCTCTTCATTTCACATTCATTACCCCTCACTGCTTCAGCCCCCCTGGCCTGCCTTTCCCTTAAGTTCTCTCATTCCTGTTATACTGCCTTGGAACCGGATACAAAGAATTGAAATCCAGGTAGTGAAGTAAATAATTTATTCTAAACATACATGACAGCATTGGAGGATGTGATTATTTTCGTGTGTAACTATTTTTAGACTTGTTTATCCTTTCGATCCGCCTCACTATGATCAAGTTCGTCCATTGTCAAATTTTTTACTGCTAGGCGATCATTGGTCTCCATTCTTTACGTTAAACATCTTGATAACATGGTTTCATCATCTCCAATTTTCTTGCATTATTTTTTCCTCAAGCTCTTCATACCTCTATATACAATTGGCTATACCACCTCAGTGAGTGTTTGTCTATACTGAAACACTCCATTCCCTCTTACAGATCCATTATATCGTCAACCCGCCTGGCAGCCAGGCAACCAACCGGCGAACTAACGGTGACGATATGTCCTTATGTATTCATGTTTTATTCTTCATGCTCCTTGCTTCCGTTTGAAAACGAATGAAATGCCTATAAACCCCGATAAAGCTTTCTTAATTTATCTGGTTGCGCACAAATGAATAGTTTTTACTGAAACTTGCTATATCAAGTCAAATCTTAATCGGATTCCTAAATGCGCTTCAAGGCGGGCATCCAATTTCGTCGTCTAGACTTATCATTTTTGCCTACAACAAACCTGAAAGGTGACAGTCAGTGTACTGAGCTAAGTTTCTTGTAGCGACTACAGAGCTCTCGCCCGAAATCAACTGAATAAATAACTTTTGGCATGACTTTCATTTCAAAGGAAAAGTAGGTTGGAAGCAAGTTGTGAAATGGTCTCACCGGTAACCGAAAGAGCATTGCCGCAGATGGAACTGTTCGATTCGTCAGGGTCGTAGGACGGTGGACAGAGGACTTCTTCGCACAATCCGACAGTCTTCACTCCTTTGATTCTCGTTAAAACTGTTTCACGAATTAGTTCCAACCAACTTTCCCTTTGAAATGAAGAGTCATCTCGTAATATATCAGTTCTTTTCCATAAATAACTCGTGGTTCTATCGGAGTTATTATCACCTTTACCTTTATCTTATATAACAAATGTCAACGACCTTGGATGGAATTCATGAGCTTTGTATCAAACTGCCTTTCTCTTAATGAAAACTATTAGATTTGAGTAACAAAATTAATAATTAATTAAGTAAATCAAGTAAAAAATGGACGCATTTAGGGAAGAACGCACTACCTGAACCCTTACCATAGTTAAACTGTCAGACTAACTTTGCTCTGTATCAACGGATATTCTGTAGGTAATTTATGTTTCATCCCTCACTGGCTTACTCACTAGTGCCAACCCTTTTATCTAAATCTGCGATTGTTTCCTATTTTTCCCCTAATTTACGGTGAGAAATGGGTCTGCTACACGTCTTTGCTTAGCAATTTTTGATGATAAATGTTACCTAGAAATTATTGTTGAAAAAGTATTTTTAAATGCTCTGATATTTATAGCTCTAAAAGCTGACTATTGCCATACTGATTTGAACTTGCTGGCTCCTGATTCAAGACTTCAAATCTTCGATGAACTTGTGGAACCGAGTGTGGACGCTGTACCACTGACCTTAACTAAATAATATATGCTATCAAATAATGGCACACTAAGCCACAATAAAGGCCCAGGTATTTAAAACAGATAGCTACGACCAGAATCTTAGCAATTAGCCCAGATCACCGAAGATTTTTTAAATTACTGCTTATCCCACTTTTTGATTTACTATAATGCCTCTAAAAGTTTTTTTGGCGACCTGCATTGCCTGTTACTTTGTTTAAGCTGGTAAATGGAACGAAGACATCAGGAATCTGCTGGTGTGCAAATAAATTCAAATATTTGTTCATATAATCTTTGTTGGAAGCCTCAGGAAGCAAGCTAGGTTGGAATTAGGCTTTATTAATTTGATTACATCAACTATTGAGTAAGGCACAAAAGTGGTCATAGTTCTAAAATCTTCCAATAATATTAGAAAACTGCTTACTTTGGAGTCTTTTAAATATGGACTTTGTTAATTGTAGCAGTAGTAGTTTTAGCTGCCTAAATTAAATCGAGTTAATTATCTTTTCATACGTAGACCTATCCTGCACTGACGCCGCATTCTTCACAAGTTGACTGTCAAAAGCTTTTTCGAGTTTAGCTCCTCTTCCACCTTGTTTAACGTACTCACTGGAACTTTTCAAATACGGGAACACACGTGGTCTGGTCTGGAGTTTTCCTTACTCCATCTGAGAAGGGATTGGTCAATGCCGTCTAGGCCACAGAATTCCTAAGGCAGCTAGCATTGGCCCTCATAAGCCTGACTTGTAAAAGGAACTGCCATCAGCAGCAATAGCTACGGAGTTGACGCCTGTGCAACGATGGGCTAATGGGCCCAGTATAAATAAGAATTGACTCACCTAATTCTCTTAGAAAGTATGTTTGAGCTGATTGGTGTGGCAGCTGCCTGTATGTCTAGTAAAATTAGCATCGTTTGAAGAAAGCCGCTCCGTAATCAATTTCAAACATCCTACTGGCCAATTTAAAGAATTCATATCAGAGACTGATGAGTCAGACTTAATACATTCCATTTCATGTGGATAAGAGTTGTCAGCAGAACTCCACAATACTTGTTGGAATCGTGTTCTTCTGGTTAAAGGATGAACAAAAAGTAGTGTTTTGACGAACCCTCAAGTTTAAGTGTAAGATCTATGACAGATTTTAGCTAAGTTGAATTTCTGATTTACTTATTGTACTCGGGGTACGGCGATGCCATCAGAATCTCCAGCTTAGACCAAAGACAGAAATAAATTACCTTCAACTCACTAAATAAGCAAG